AAATTTTACGGGGCCGTACGTGTTACTCGCGGGTACGGGGAGGCTGAATTTAAATTTGCGGGGTCACACGCAGGTGGGGAACACACCTCTAAATTTCCAGATTCCTAGCTTTTGTGGTCCCCGAGTTGAAAGTTGCGGACAAGTTGCTGCGGACACACACATACGCACATTCAAACAAACACACAGGCAACCCCCGTGACAATATGTGTTTTGTACTGCTATTACACAGCACAAAAGGCATAAAAAATTATATTAAGATAAATTTTAATCCTACATATGAGTAAGCGGTGGAGGGCACGGACTGATGTACAGCCAGCAAAATTAAGCATGCAAGTAAGCTTATCGAAGTAGTTGAATTTCGCGAACATTGGTGCCTTTTTGTCCGATTCGCTTGCTACGAGGCTGATCTGTAAGCTTCAGAGCACGGGTCAGGTATTCGCGAACTTTTCTTCCATCCTCGATTGGTGAAACTTTCAGAGGTGAAATTGGGCTCGCCATAAATGTAACACTCGTTTTTCAATCCGAATCTTTCGCGAGAACCGGAAATATTCCGAATTCTTCCACGAGAACATCCTGAAGCTGCGCTCCCAATAACCTTCTTTTCGCATCGGTATCGTTTACGTCGCTATATGTAATGCGTATTTTTTCTATTTGTTTAGCACAGGGCTTGAAAGTTTTCCTATTATTAATAGTAATAACAATGATAAATATAACAGTTCCTTCTACTGGCAGAACTTCCTTCGTGGTCAAGTAATGACAGCGTTTGAGTGTAGACGATGATGCTCAACTCATAATACAAGTGACAGCTGGAAACAGCTAAAACCTTGACAACATGTCTCCGTCCAAACAAACGTCCAACTGAAAAAGAGTGAGCGACTGGACTGCCGATAGCTGACCACCGGCTAAATGCAGCACTGGTCAAAAAAGCAGCAAATTGCCGGCTGCTGAAAGCACGGGTCAGCCGACAGCGAACAGAACCAACAGCCGGACATTTCTGAACTGCACCCCCCAACAGGCTACCTGACCGGCGAGCACAGACTCGTTCTGCTGGGCATAGGCAAATCCAGGACGGACTCCAATATTGGGCGGGAGCGACGAGGGAAGGGGAAGGGGAGTGGGGCTTCCAGGGAAGTGGGGCGACGGAGAAGGGAGGGGAGTCCCCTCCCACTTTGAAGCAATGCAAAAAGCCAGGAATAGAGTTTTAACACTGCTACTTGGAGTTACTTTAGTTTGAGCTCTAGTTTAATTTAGACCCGGGCTTTTGCAGCACTGGTACCTATGCTGCTGCGAGGGGGGAGAGGGCGAAAGACCGTTCGTCTCCCTTCCCTGGACCCGCCTACGTTGCTGCTGGGAGCGGGAAATTTCCGCGCGTTTCAAACATGACGCCATCGCCGCTCGCAGACTCGGCACGACCGCAAAGTAGCGAATAAGCCTGGGATGACCGCGAGCGACCGTCCAGTAGAGCGGCATCGCTTACAGTGATGTGCGTGTGCCACTTTTTCACGGCCGTGGAAAAAAGCCTCGCAGTAAGCTATATAAGGAACGCATCTGGCTAGCTTTGTCACATTCGCTTACGTACGGTCGTCCTGAGCGGTCGGTTCTTACGTCTATTTCTTCGGGGCCATGGTTGTTGCGCAGGCAAGGTTCAGAGGCGCCGATGGTACCGCGTGATTGGAAGACGATGGCGATGGAGCGAGCGAGCCAGCTGGCCGCGACCAGGCTCGGCTAATCGGCGTCGTCGTGGAATCGCGATGTGCGGGCGATGGTGCTGAACCGAGTAAGCTCGGGGCCACAATTGCTGACGTCAACCAGACGTGGTTGCTGATGGCACGCGGCTAGCCGCCAATGTTCTGCCACGATTGGTCGACTGCCCGCGGTGATCTGTTGCGGGATTGGTCGGTGATCTATTGCGATGGATCGGTGATCTACTGATTGGTCGCTGGGTCGGTGGTCTACTGCGACGGGTCGTGATCTGCTGCTGTTGCTTCTGCATTGGGTGGTGATCTGCGTTGCAGTGGGTTGGTTTCGGGTTACGAAGTGAGATGAGAGGGGGCGCTGTGATAGGTGGGTGGTCTTGTGATGGGCTGGTGTCCTGTTGCTGGCTACTTGAGGATCAGTATTGGATTGTAGTGGACGGTTGTGTGCGATTTGGCAGTGATGACGGGGCTGGTCAGTTGCGGCGGCGGCCCTGTTGCGTTGGTGATCTGCTGTGCTGGTGGATCAGCAGGCGGTTGTGCTTCGGTTTTTTGGCTCCTGAAATTTGCGAGGTATTCGGTGTGCCAGTGCATGCTTCACTCTCGATCGGCCTCGTTTTCAATGCACGATAGCAGGAGTGCTCATCGAGAATTCTGGATGCAAATGAGGATCGCCTGCTTGAGCATCGTT